GCATGAAACCATTGACTCGACAAGAATCAGTGTTTGCGATTAATTGATCAAATGAATAATCATCATCGTCAGTTGATTCTGTTAACCTATTTTGTCTACCATAGCTTACATATATCGATTGAATAGCTTATTAATATTCTCACATGACGCATAAATGATTCGAAAAATGCCAATAATCAGGTTCATCTATGTCAATTATTTCAAAACAAAATGACTGAACTTCTATGCGTAATCAAGATGGCACATCAAATGAATCAAATAAATCAGGATTCTGTTCGCTTATTTTTCTTAGACACTGGAACTATGGTGTAAACGTTATTTCTTGATTTAAGATCATATGGAAAGTGAATAATCATAACGGCATTTGTGACAATGTGCACAAGTATTCTATTGCAAAATTTTTTCTGATAGGAAGTAAGTCCTCGAAATCGCTATAAGAATTTACGATCGTATGACCGACGAATAATGCTTAGGACAATGGAGTTCACTTATCACTTGGTTTTATTGATAGAGTTTAGAAATCCTTCATCAGATCATAATTAACAGAGAAAATGAATCAGTAGAACTACCTTTAACAATCGCTTCAATAATTTTTCTCTTTGTGAATAAAATTCATCTTACGATTAACTATCGATAATCATTGAGAATATGACTACTCATGACAAAAGTTTTATTCATATATTCTGTTCTGTTGATCCTAAACACTTCAAGATATCTTGCTGAAGAGTGCCTATTGGAAAAATAAATCAATTTCAAATAGTGTCTTGCGCGTACTAGGTGCAACGAATTCCATATTTCCTAAATAAAAATGTCAGACCGTTACACAATCGTACAGAGTAAAGATTATGACTTTAGAAAAACATTGTTAGCGCAGCCCTTTTGAGACTGAATTGTGGAACGCACGTACGTTCTCTACCTTCATTAAACTAGTACAAAAAATCAATAAAGTGAAAGATCGTTCGTAGACTACAGTTGCTTTTCACGATAATCGAATATCAGAGTCAGCACCTTTCTAATTGCTAAAGCCTGTAATGGGGAGAGATGGGAGGATACAGCCGCAAAAATTTGCTCTTAAACTTACACTTAGTATTTTTTTCGACAATGTATGTGAATTCCACAAAATCCTATTGAAATATGATTGGTTGAAGGCTTTCACTATCCTAATGCCGAAGAGAATGAATCAGAAATGCATTCGAAACCAGTAGTGTCAAACTTGAAAGTTGAATTCAACTGAAATTGCTAGTTTCAACTTTCAAATTCCAAGTTTTCGAATAGTCAACGCCTGGAATACCACCAGAATCACCTAACGTCGACAGGAATTGTCTGGATTCCTACTAGCATCATCTGGCATTCTACAGGAATTATCTAGAATGCTGTTAGTATTGCCTAGGAAGTTACAAGCATTACCTAGGATCCTGCAGGCATCATCTATAATCCTGCAACCATCACCTAAAACATCACAATTACCGCCTAAGATGCTACAAGCATCACCTAGAACGCTACAGGTTTTGGTTGAGATGCTTCAGACATTATCTGGGACCCTAAAAGAAGTATGTGACAAGCTTGAATTACCATGCGGGACTGACTGGAAATAATGGTGCGCGCAGAGACGTGCATAGGTTGCGGCTCTTCGGGGGGGGGGGGGGGGGGGGGGGGTCGCCGGCGGGGGGGGGGGGGGGGGGGGGGGCGCGAAGCCTCTCCATGTCGCGAAACTGAAATAAAAGGTGTGTTAGGCGGGAGAAAGCGGTTCCCCAACGAATATTCTGGCAGCTTGAAAGTTGACAATTGAAACTTGATACTTGAAAGTTGAAACTTGAAAGTTGAAACATGAAGCTTGAAACTTGAACCCAAGTTTCAAGTTTACATATATGTTCGAAACAAGCGAACAAAAACCGAAACGCTTTTCTGACAGTCTCAACGCACTGCTTTCCAGCAGAGCAACATGTTTCAAGTTACTTCTTTTCAACATTATCTGCCGTCTGAAATGCTTGTTCGAAAACCATTCGCAACGACACCTAGCGCTCTAAGTTTGTCTGCTGAAGTACAGCGCGTTTGAATTATGCGAAACGCGTTTTGATTTTCGTTCGCCACTATTCAACGCGCTTTTGCTTCGTTCTCGTCGACCTAAGTGCTCTTGGAATGGAACATGCTGTTATTCAGAATGATCAGAGATTTATTAGGATCTTCTTTCATAAGGCGTGGAAACGATCTGGCTATGCTTGTATTGAAATAATGAAAGCCTTGAAATCAAAACACTTGCCTAGTAGAGTCACTGAAGTTCAATTGTAAGTGAATTCAGTGTTGCGCAGGAAACTTAACGTAACTAAAGGCCAAGTGGAATTGTCCAATCCTATCCAAGAAAATTTTAATCAAACTTAATAAAAATAAAGTCGTTATTTTGAAATCATTGTCTTTCATTCAGTAATCGCGAAACCTCCGTTGGTCGCTAAATGGCGGTTAAATGTAATTCTATGCGTTATTTAAGAGTGAGAGTAAAAACGTTTATGAGCATGAGCTATACACTCCTAGAGAATACTAAATATTTTTTGAAGAAAACATGACAAAGACTATTTTCTTGTTTGACCTGACAAAATATGAGACTCATGGCTAGAGAAATTTGTTTGCTGTCATCTTCAAAATAAAGTGGTGAAAGAAGTCGAAAATAAGTACCAATACATGAGTAAATCCGATTGAAATAAAACTTTGTCATTTCGAAAACACGCACTTTTGCATTCATAAGTCTTGACTGCATTTCATAAATTAATAATTGGTGATTTGTGATAAATAAATGTCTAGTTCGCGAAAATTGCTTTAAAGTCTTAAATGAGAGTTTGTACCATCGTTTATTTTCCTATTGCGTGAAATTCATTTTTACTCGTTCTTGAAAAATTCATTAGAATAAGTATAGGATCTTCTAGCATATGAGGAACTGTTGGTTGAATGAAAAAATTGTGTAAAATATGAATTATAGTTAAGTATTATATGAAATATAGAATATATTTCTTACTTAAAGTATCACGAAGACGTATGCCGTCTTAATTCAATTTATATTAATTAAATTAGTAAAAATTAAATAATTTATATTCGTTTTTAAATATAAACTATGAATAAGATTATTGATATTTATTTTTAATATAAATAACGGATAATCTACATTTATTTCAAGGTAACTGAAGCATGACCCTCCTGATGCTGTGAATATTATTGGTGAACTATGAGATTAGTCATTGATCGATGTACATTATGATTCGTCTGTTATATCGATCCTGGAACCTAGAGAGAACGTGCCGCATCGTTATTCTTTTTGTAGTCGAGAAGGAAGTCGGCTGGATTCCTCATACAGTAGGAAATACGCTCGTAGCGTCTCAAAAAGAAAGAGTGAAACCTTTTAATTGTAACGAATCATGCAATTCAGTTACTTTTGGACTGATATAAAGTTTTAAAAACTCTCCAATTCAGAAAAAAACCCAACCGGTCTGCTTTTCATTGACTTACTGTACATAAATAAATTGAATTGAAAGCGCAACTTTTTCTTTCTTGTGTATAAAGAGAAGTAGGTAACACAGCTTTGCTGTTCTTTTTTCGTCAAAACAAACTGATTGAGAGGGAGCACGTGCACATCTGTTTGTGTGCAGCAGTCGTACCTTTTGGTAAAAACGATAAATTAGTCATGATGTAATGAGACACGCAATGAATGTAGCCAAATGGAGTAACCAATAAAATTTTGCCAGGAATGTCATCCTCCTGTTGCATTAAAATAAATATAAATTTTTTTTTCACGATTTATATATTTAACGTAAATATAAATTATCATAAATTATATTTATTTTGGAGATGAATTTTTGGCTTTTTTGTATTTTAATAAATATAAATTAAATTATCATATTTCCTTATAATAATTTACGTGAGTTATATTTTTATTCAGCTGACTGTTGCTAATCTGCTAGAAGATCCTTCTACCTATTATAATCAGTTTCTCAAAAATAAACCTCACGGCATAAGAAAATGAACGATACTACACTGAAACATAAAATGGTACCACAACGGAACTTTTTTGCAACGAAATATAAGCGTTTCTAAGGTTTTCTTAAAACCCAAGACACTTTCAATATAATTATGATGGTTCTAGGGAACTCTTTTAGAGGTTTCCTAGATTTTCTATGGAACCTTAAAAAGGTCTAATTTCCTTGGAAAGTTCGAAACCTTTTTTAAAGTTCCCTACCATAAACGAAACTTTTACTAATACCAATATCATTATTAAAACTCTTGAAGACAAGAGCATTTTAATAAGAGTCCTGAAAAATTCAGTTATCGTTGTACCGATCAATGAAAAAATCATCTTTTCTATTTCTCTGATAACTTGAATTATATGCATCGCAGAGATATGATTTTTGTTTCCGAGATATATCAAACATTTTTCCATCGACCGATATAATTAATGAATGTCTTAGAAGAAGCATGACAATGGGAAGGTGGTCAAATATAATTGAATTTTCATGTGTTTCGAATTCTACCAGTACATGTAATTTTTGTTTTTAATTCTGTCGTGTACACAGATAATTTTGAAAACATAATTGAAGAATTTCACACTCGAAATTAATAGAATCAGTATTTTATGTAGATGATTCAATCCATTCAGTTTTATGATAATCATTAAATATTATTGAGTATTCTAAAGAAGAAATAGAATAATATTTAATTCATGCTCTATCATAAGACATAATTATTAAATATATACAACACAGGTAGAACACCAATAATATGGAAAAAGAAAGAAATATTCTATTTGGTTCATTAATCTTCTTCTTTGATTGAAAGATTTTTATTCGGTTGAATAAGACTGTATTTCAAACAGAATTGAACGATATCTGAAATGATTTTTGAAAACATTCGAAAGTCTGTATACTTTTGCATTGCCCAGTAGATTATCTTTCATTTCATTAATACTAAATGAAATATCCATTAATTCTGTTTCAACAATAAGTGTTGCAAGTTCTTTATTAATTTTTAATTATATTGTGAATCATATAAAAAACTTTAGCTTCAAATGTTTCTCCACTTGGATGATAAAATGATAAGACAAATGAAATGATAGCACATATAATAAGTGTAACAAGTGTTTGATTTTTTAAAGCATCAAACATAAGACAAAAAAATGTTGTTGGTAATTGCTTTGGAATTTCATAACGACCAAAGACAACTATACGTATGGCTAAATCAGTTTCATCACTAGATATACCTATATATAAAATAATAGATTTTATAATTGAGGTTGTTTTTTCTTCGTGCGTTCTTATTTTATTTTGTTTTTACCAGTTATTAAATTTGTTTTGAGCTTTTGTTCAATACCACTGAGATCACCGTATGTTTCATTAAGTTCTTTAATACCTTCATGGCCTTGTGTTTACATCAATTTTTCTAATTTTTTTCATATGGAATGTTTAATGATATGTATGGGACAGATATTGGATTCTTTTGATAGAATGTAGGCAGATAATTGGATGTTAGTAAAGGTATTTCGAAGAAGTTATTCCGTCATTGAATATAAAGCAAGTACAAATTCGTGATTCATTCATTTATTTAACATACAGTGACAGATAGACCTTGAAACAAAAGACAAAAAGGAAATAGAAAGAGAAACCGTTGAAAACGCTGTCTCGTGAGGATATACCCAGTTAGACAAGGAAACTGGAAAAATGATGTTTAAATATCATGAGTTTCAACTGTTTAAACCGTGTGGTATGTCTCCAAAAACAAATTTATAGCGCTGAAAAACGTTTAATCGTTTAACACTTTTTGCCCGTTTAACCAGCTTGAATTGGTGTGTATACATACAATGGGTTGATTGTAGTTCCTGGCATGCGTGAAGATCCTCTATATAACCACAAGTACATCCACAGTAACATTCAAATCCATCTACGTCTGCATCCATAAAAGCCAATACTCAAACCTACGCCCTTAAATCTGTACTCTTATAACACTAGTCATACTCAAAAAGCCTAATACACGTATTGTTAGATCTGTGCTCTATTATATAAATATTTTTTGTGAGTTCTTGTTTATTTTTTTCTGATAAAAATTTGAATTTATTTAAATAAAATTCAACGTCTCTGCGAAATAAATGTAAATGTAGCATTTATCATTATGAGCGCTATCTATCAATTAATTTTGGAAACTGTATGAGAATGTGTAACATCTATCCAAAAGAATCATTTAATTATTAAGTAGAAAAACAGAAATATTTTTGTAAAATATTTATATCGCAAAAAATATTCGTTTTATCTCTTTCTTTAAGCTGCATTTAGTTTTATTATGACATAACATTATCAAAAAAAAAACACCAAAGCTGTGAAGAAGTCAATCGAGTACTATGAAGGCAAAGAGAAAAACATCCTATACGGAATTGCTACACATGAAAATATTCAATTGAGTTGATATTGTGACATCAATTTATCTATAGCTTTTGAAAGTAAATCGAGAAAGTTTTTTTAAATTAGTTCAAAGTCATTTTAATTTTACATTCACCTACACCTTTCGTTTTAGGTGGATGCATGTGTTTTAGCAACAATAGCATCGGGAAATATTTGAAGAATATGTGAAATATTTAAATGAACTGTGATCGATCAATATCAGATGATCTGAAGAGAAAAAAATCTGTTTCAAAACGAAAAAAAATTTTGAACGAAACTAAAAAAATGTTTTTAGTGTTCACTGGAAAGTGACTGTACTATCAAATTACATTCAATCTGTGAAATATTATTTCACGATCGAAACATTGTGCAAATACGACTTGTTCGTGAATACGTCAATGATAGACTTAAGTGTTTGTAACACATCGTTTATTGTCAATAAACGTTTCGTTTCTGACAAGGATAATTTAAGAGCCATATTTTTGTGCTAGATAATACGATCAAATACCGAGCGGCAAAAGTCCTTATGTCGATGTGGGTAATCATGATCAAGTTTTTCCATTACGGATATTTATTTCTTGTGGATTCTCTCAATTTCGAATATAAAATAAAATGATGGTACTCATTATACATTGTTTTTATACGTGACAAGCGTTTACTTTTACGTTTGAATATTAATTTCACTCATCAGCAAGACTATTCTGTAATTGACAAGTATTTTTATGCTTCTTAATTATTAGATTATTGCACAACTAATGTAAAAAATATTTTATTCATAAGATAAACAACATCCTGTTATTCATATAAACAATGTTTATTAGTATAGGTTAATCTAAACGGTATATTATGTACATATATAACAACTTGATTGAGACGTCCATAACGAGGAGACGAAATAAATTGGATCGAAGAAAAAAAATGTATTCAGATAAATAAATCATGACATTACTTTTCTTTTTCTGGTGTGAATATGGATGTTGTTTTTATTTTCCCCTCTATGCATGAGCTGATCAGATACCGATTCAAAAAACAAGTAACGATCCGGTAATTAAAAAAACATGAAGATAAAGATATAGATTTTTGAGTATCAAATTTTGTAATAAGGAGAAATAAAGTAAATAACTGAGTTGCCTGCTGTTATAAAATTTTTAAATCAAACTAAGAAGGAACAAGCTGAAGTGAAAAATGTATTTCAGACTTTGCCTATGTTATCTAAAATGTTAACAACTTCAATTTATTTATTTTGATTTAATTATAATGTCATTTAATTAATAATATAATTAAATATAAAGAAAAGAAGGATGTTTGGATTTGACTACGTGTCGCAATTTCTCTTTAGATTTCTGAGAAAAATCTATATCCGCTAATGATATAGCCTTTAAATATTTTGATTGTCGAATCATGACGATGATTGCATCGACACATTCATCATTGACTTGTCGATTTCCTCCAATATAGAAATATTCAAGACGAGAATGTGGTATAGCTTGTACAAGTGTTATGACACCGCGTGATGTTAATTCATTGGAGGAGAGCTCGAGAAGTTTCAGTTGTCCATTTTCTAAAAAGAGTCGAGCAAGATGTTCTGTACCAACATCAGTAATGGCATTTGTTCCTAATCGAAGATGTTTAAGGTGACGATACGTTCGAAGTGTTGCAACAAGATATTGAACACCTTCATCTCTAATTCGATTATTACTTAAATCAAGCATTTCTAAAACTGTATTTTGTTCAAATGCGTTAGCCAAAAGTCGAGCTCCCTCCGATGTCAATCGGTTCGACGACAAGTCAAGTTCAATACATTGTTTGTTGATCAATGCTTCTTGGACAATAATTGGAATGTCTTTGTCGATAAGATCTGCATTACGAAAGTAACGTTGTTGATGATCTGGATATAGTTTTATTATTCTCAAAAGGTTCTTGTTCCAATAATAATCATCATTATCGTTTGATTCAGCCATGATCTGTTGCGTTTTCGTCTGCTGCTGTTTTTCTGTACTATTTATCTACAATCATGAATCATCATTACATTCTTGATGCAGATTTTAATTTCATTGCATCAGCCAAGGAGCGAATAGAACATATTAGATTTCTTTTGACTAATATTGACACACATTTACTGTTAACAACTTTAACTGTTGTTTTTATTTTATATCATCATAACCTTGACAAAAGACATGTGCTTATAAATAGCTTACGTATGTTTCACATGGTGAAGATGAAAACGTTAGACAATGTGCTTTTATTTATGAATTACAAAAGCATAGTGTAAAATGCACATAATAGAAAATTTCAGTGAATTTTATTTTTCATTGATTAATATATGGTTTCATAGAGATTCAATCACAGATTTAACTAAAAAATTTCTTTTTCTTCACAATCAACTCTTTAACTTTTCTAATCTTTTTCTCTGATGCCGAGTACCTTATTGTAATTGAAATACCTCACAATGTAGAAAAGATTTTTTCTCTAGAAAACTCAACATCATAGTTTTCTTTATTTAAGCGAATATTATTATTATATCTTGTTCTGGAAGACTTCGATTTATTGCAGAATAATAAAACAAAAATCGACAATATCTAATGTTCAAATAAAAAATGACGACAAACGTAATTTATTACTATAGATTGAATTCATCTTCCAAATCCTTTTGTCTTTCCTAAAGATTTTTTACCATGTTCAAGACAACCTTTACAGAGTTTATCAAGATTTTTGTGTAATGATCGCTGTAGAGAATATTAACGGCTTTTAAATGATCACACCCACAATGAACATTTATTGTAATACTATAGAATATAAGATCATCCAAATCGAAATGAACACATGGTAGGCAATCTAAAAATGAAAAGATTAGTTCATTTCTTGTCACTGTTTTCTTGCAACACTATGTATATACCTGTTTTCATTTGTGCTGTTCAGGTTTCTTATGAGCACAAAACCGAGCTGTTTTCCGTGAGCTAAAACACATACTTTGTTTCTGAATTTGCCATTGGTTTTAAAATGAAGTCGCTCGACAGAATTCTATTAGTATATGCTGTTAGGATAGAAGATTAATCATCTGTTCTTCTTTCTCTCGTTCTTT